CTTAAGTGGATAAAACTCATAATAATACAATTTAAAAGAATTTAAACCATACATTTTGATTTAACAAGACGTCAAGACGTACTTATATGATATTATCCTTATAAGGTACCTACTATTATATAATAACATACCTTGATGACCAATAAACTGTTTAAGCAATTTATATCCGGGTACTGAATAGATATTTACATTTTTTCCTGTAGCAACTGCTAGCTTTAAACCATCATAACTAAATTTCAAATACATACATCCTTCTAAATTAGGCTGAAGTTTCRCGATTTCAGAATTTGGTATTTTACATTTTTGACCAGGAAAACGTTTCCACTTAATATCRTATTCCTATAAATACAACTAATATTATTTATTTATCTATGTGGGTGAAGGCTTCATATTTAAATCAATTTATACTTGAAACGTTTCTTGATTTGAACTAACTGAATCAGAATTAATTTCATTTTGTGAACTAGAGTTAGAAGAAATTAATTCTTGTTGATTATGTTCTGATGCCATGTCAGCTGCACCAGAAAATTGTGCTTTGTTTAAACTTATATAAAGCGTGCTTGGATATTTTTTTAGTATTCCTTTTATAAACCAATGCATTACCTACAGATTTATTCTTATTTAAATATTRTATTTCACAAATTAACTTCTAAACAATAGCATATTTGGTAAAACCTACGGTTGGATGACTTTTATGAAAAGACTTCGGCTTTGGCCCAGGTTTATATAACTGTAGTCTTATTTGTTTTCCTGTATTTGTAATTCCATTTGATCCAATTGGTCTTAAAAAGGCCCAAGCTATTCTATGCCAATCATTCATTGTTACTAGAGGTCGAATACTTCCAGTATAATCTACAATCTCAAATAATATTACTGTATTCGCTGTAATTATATGTTTAAACTGTTCTGTACAAATCAGTTTTTCATTCCAGTTTGGTATTATTGTTCTAGACATAAATTTTAAGTAMATTTTTAGTGCATTTAAGTTAAAATATTAAAAGATAAATATTATTACTTATGATGTTTGAAATCAAATTCTTTTGTTATCATCGGATTAACATAAGTTTTTTCTTGAWTTGTTACATTTTCATCTCTTATTCTTAAATATTCCCACGTAGTTGTATCAATAATAGAAATTATGACACTCGGATGTTTTATTCTTGTATCAACTTTTAATGCATCTGTTTGATGAATATAA